TTAGTCATGCACTATAAAGTTTTCCTATATGATGCTGGAAGTTCCTGGATTCCATAGACAGTTAAATTGTTTACAACTATTGATGGAATCAAGTTTTCCTTCTAGATACAATGGGTTGAAGCCAGCTAAAGCTTCTTATGGAGTGACTCCTATTACAGGAAGGTTTTTAATTCTGTCTAGCTTTACTGGTGGCTGACTAAAGGAAAAGAGGACCTTGGGCAATTTTCCCCAGCTTCCTGCAGTCTATTTCGTCCTCTGCAAAGTTGTTTTGGGAAAACTCCAAAAATTATTTGACCAAAAGAGTTAGGAAAACAGTGTTAGAAGAGTGGGGGACACAGCAAATATTTATTTCCTGTCCTGATTGTATTTGGGATGCCAGTCTCTTGTTGGGAATTTTCTAAAGTTCAGTGATGATAACTCTGTATCTAACTCATTCCTCTTAAGGCCTTTGCATTAAATTCAAAACACACATGTCCTTCCATAATGCAAGGATTCAGCTATATTGCACATTGTAAGCTTATTTATAGGAAAGTTAGGAGCAAAGTCAAATGGAGGGATACTCTTTGGACGTAATGTAGTAACTAAGTGGGAACTGAGCAGAATGCCTTCAAAATAAACATTAATTTCTTTTCCATTTTCTTTTGCACATATACCTTTAGTTCTATATGAAAAGAAGTATTTACTGGGTGAGTATCATGTCTTTAATTTTATGCTCTCTTGTAGCCAATCTCTGGCAAGACAAACATTTGCTGTTCTTTCTGTACTCATGGTTACCATGAGTTGGATTCAAATTTGGTAATCACTGGAGCAGACTTAATGAAATCAAGTGGGACAGATATCAATAATGATCAAGTCAATCCCCATTGATTTCAAGGATTTGGCTCTTTTAAATCTTGATGAAATCTAGATTGAAGTCCATGTGGTCTAGATATGCAAATGTTTGTGGTTAATGGTCTCTGCTCATTGTGATGTGCCAAACAGATTCTCAGCTTGCAGGCCTAATTATATTTTCATAGTATGAGCTCGTAGTAAGTCTACCCAGCATTTTCAATTAACTGTTAGTCTTTTTATTCATCAGAGTGGGTCCCTGCTTAAATGCCAAATAAGCTGTCAAATGAGGGACAAACAACTAAAGTAGTTAAAAAAGACATTTTACAGGGGTATTGTTGTTAGTGGATCCCGATTTGTAAAAATCATCACTTTGGGGACAAGGACAAAACACAATGTAGAAACAAAAATTAGGTAGAGACAGGATGTTTGTTTCATGTACATAGCATCATGAAACGCACACATTTACAGACCTCCATAAAATTCTGTGTTATAGGAATGGCAACTGTGGTTCTCCCAAGGGTTTTGAATAACAACTTCTATAATTCATCAATACAGTGGTAGTTAAAGGTCAAAAACATCTAGAATGCTAATTTTCTCAGCCTCAGCATTGGCTAATATAGGTCTTTCAAGTGTTAAGAACATGGCTGTTGCACTACCAAAAGTGCATATGAAGTATCACCTGCAGGTGCCAGATGGCCTACTGGGACCTGAAGTGTATCCCCTCAGCTCATAATATTTAAAAAAGAGTCACCCTGGGAGACCATTTGGTCAGTGTTACAGAGTCCTGCTGTTTTATACTTTGCTGGGATTGTACCAAGCCCAGAATTAATGTCTAGGCATTTTCTAGTTAGCAAAAAGACCTGATGAAACTGCACTCTACATGCATGGCGAGAGGGCAATAATAAACAAACGACTCCTTGGAATATCACGTAGAACTGAAAAGATAAGGGATATACAGAAATGTCCAGTAACTGTCAGACCTGTTTGACTGCTGACAAACATTTACAACTTTACTACAGCAATACTGTGCGTAATTTGATTATGTACCTTAGACGGAATTGCTTTATTTTTTCAGAGAAGACAGCTTGGACAACTGCCTTAGTCATAACTTCAACAATCGTCGTGGCGGTGTTTGCAGCATTTCTCTGGTTCCTTTACCAAAGGAGGGTTTTTTCTGCAACAAGTTGTACTGTACACAGTTCTGCTATTTGCGTGACATCAAGCAGTGATGAAGAGGTTCTTATAGAAGAAGAACATGAATACACTGCCTAACCTGCACTCATTTAGAATTCAGAGTTACAGAAACGACCAAGAGCATATTTTGTGAGCAATTAATGGAATCAGCCACACATTTATGTTATTCTTCAAATATTAATGTACTTGGGTTTTCGTTAATCTTCTATCTATGCAACTTTGATATTTTTCTGCAAATTGCACTTTATTTTTGTATTTTTTTAACTATGCCAACGGCCTCAATGAGCCTTAAACAAACGATTTGTATGTTTGTGTGTGCTTTTTAAAATATATATACAGTGGGAACTTTGGACCAGTGAATTCCACCGACTGTGGATTTTCATAGCCCGTATTATTAAAAGGCAGCGACATGAATACAGACACACTGAAGCATGTGTGTTCACATCACCGCCACTTATTAATATGGGGAGGGATTATCCATGGTTTTTTCCTGTCAACACAGGATCCCAGAATCAAACTCCCAGGGATGCAGAGGGCCCTCTATATATAATGAAACAATCATGTTTCACCCAGCATTAAGCTCTTGGAGGATGTTACAACTCCTTAAGATCTCCTCCAAGCACAGAAGTGATAGTACCATGGTATCAGAGGATGTATGCATTGGCCTAATATAACTGCTACTATCAACTGAGAAGGCCCAATAAACCAACTGCTGAATCTTGAGTCAACATGATAAATACAAATGATTCAGTAGATCTACTTAAGTTTTGAATAATAAATTCAGTCCATTTGCTCCTATTTCAGCAGTTCTTGTTCTGGAGAGCATTCATAGAATCCAGAGTTGGGTCATCCAGTCCAACCCCCTGCCATTCAGGAAAAGCACAAAGTACCCCTGACAGATGGTCATTGCCTCTACTTAAAAGCCTCCAGAGAAGGAGACTCCACAACCCTGAGGAACAGCATACTCCACTGCCAAACAGCTCTTACAGTCAGGAAGATCTTCTGAATGTTTAGGTGGAATCTTTTTTTCCTGCAATTTGAATCAATTGCTCCATGTCCTAGTCTGCAGAGCTGCAGAAAACAAGCTTGCCAACTCCTCAGTGTGTCATCCTTTCAGATATTTAAACATGGCGATCATGTCCCCTCTCAGCCCTCTTTTCTCCAAGCTAAACATAAATTACTTCCCCAGCTACCTGGTTTCCAATTTTTGATCATTTTGGTTGCTGTCCTCTGGACACCTCCCAGTTTGTCAATAATCACTCATGGATTGTGGTGCCCAGAATTGGACACAGTGTTATTCCAGGTGAGGTCTGAACAAAGCAGAACACAGGAGCACCATGGCTTCCCTTGATCTTCACATTATACTCCTTTTGATGCAGCCTAGAGTCACATTGGCTTTTGAAACTGCTGCACTTTATTGACTCATGTTCAGTTTGTGGTCTATTAAGACTCCTAGATCCCTTTCATGTGGACTGCTTTCAAGACAGGTGTTACCCATCCTGTATCTGTACATTTGATTTTTGTTGCCAAAGTGTAGTACTGTACATTTCTCCCTGTTGAGATTCATTTTCTTAGTTTTGGCCAGCTCTCTAATTTGTTGCTATCATTTTGGATTCTGATTCTGTTTTCTGGGTTATTACCTATCCCTCCCAATTTGGTGTCTTTTACAGATTGGATAAGCATGCCTTCTATTCTGTCTTCCAAGTCATTGTTAAAGATGTTGAATAGCATTGGGCTCAGGACACATCCCTGGGGCACCCCACTAGTCACTTCTCTCCAGGATGCACCCTTTGAGTTTGGCCAGTCAACCCATTCTCAATCCATTGCACAATAGCATTGACTAAATGACTGAAATGACTTCTGCCAGTTCTTTTAATACCCTTGAATGTTCAACATTGTACTTTCGTTCTTTCCAAATACCAGCATTTTAGTCACAGGATAGATGTGTAGGAACTTCAAAACTTACACCCTACTATTAAATCAATGACTATGAAAAGCCTACTTCAGGTACTACTTGGCCAAAGATAGGACAAGACATTCTAAGAACATGTAGTAACTCATTTCTGGCCATCAATGGTGGGAACATGCAGGATGTTGCAAGTTATGGATTGTACTTTCACGCAAAAATCCTACATACTTTCTGTAACTGAATGTCTGGTAGTGCTATATTGAACACAGTGCAATATGAATCAATATCACAATCTATTTTGTGTATTTGGTACTGTTGAATAAAATGTCTACTTTAAGCATTGTACTTGAGAACATGTAGGAAGCATTTTTTAAGAACACAACTAAAAGGAAAGAAGTGCTTCTCTAGTATTGTGTACATAAAACAAGCCAGTATTTGCAAGAGCATAGGAAAGTGCTGACAGGTATAAGAAGTAAAGCAATAATAAGTCCTTAAATGGCCACACGTGCTAAGATTTGCCTGAAGGACATTATGCAACATATTTGCAGCATGTCAAACGGCCATGAGTAGCTGAACTAGCATTTTTTGATGGTCCTAGGGATGTTTACATGGGAATAAGCACCTAGGATTACATTGTAATTTAAATTCTTAAACACAGATAATACATCCTCACTTTGCTGAACTCTTGATCTGAAGTGTGATAAGTGAAGAATTTCCACTTTAATTAGATGGTAACAATGGGAAAGACCCATCAGCCAAAACTGAGTTTAGCTTTACATATATGGCAGAGAAGCTTTTCCTCATCAGTGAAAGTGGAAGGATCAACCCACATGAGAATGCCCTACTGCTAGAAAATAGTACTGTTAATACTTGTACTTTTAAAATCTGACCGCTTATATGTATTTTTCGAACTTAGCTGCTGGCTTCTGTCGAGAACAGGGTCTGGTAATGTGTCCCCTTCTAAATGTTGGACATCATAAGCTAAAATACACAATATCTATCTCACCAAATTAAGTTTTAGGAGACTACAGCACATCAGTTCTATTTTACAAAGGCAGACAAGGTATATGCATTGCAATTTTTATTTAACAAACAAGTGACAACACTAGAAAATACAATGATGACCAGTGCTTCAGCAATGAATGTGGGTTCTAAAAAAGGTTCATTAAGATAAATAATTTGGTTAAGATTCTGAACCATAGCTCTCATCCTTCCAGGAATGCAGAAATGCCAGTGTTTACAGCTGTAATTACTTACTGGACCATCTACATAATATCATCAAATATAATCCGCAGTTTTGAAATCAATACTTATAAAAGCCATCATTAATGCGTATTAGTAGCCCCTTGCAAGTTTATTGCTTTGAGTTAGCCATTACAGAAAAAACCGTAGAAACTTAACACTAACTTCACAGAACCCATTCGCTCCCCCATTCAATCTCAGTTATTAATACTGGAAGCAAAATGATGAGACTTCCCAGATTTATTTTTAAATGAAAAGTGAATACAGAATGACCCCTTCCCTGTGACTTTGACTTGAGAACCCACTTAATGTTGCCACTTAACCAGCAGAAGAGCAAAACTTGAGAAATGTTTTCCAGAACTTTAGCTGATTACTGTAAGAAGTTTATACAAAATACATTTTCCTTACACATAAAAATCTGATATTTTAGAAGAAGGCATACATGTCATAATCTCAAAGGAGAAACTCTCTCTTGCAGACTGACTGTTCAAGTCTTTGAATACCGGGTTGCAACAGCAGATTTTTCAACTCAACAATGCTTCAGAAATCTAAGAGTATTCAGCGTGTTTTACTAAGAAAATGTATACTGGTGGTACTTATGTCTGTTGAGCATCCAGGCCTTGCTTTTGCAATTACGCAGCATCAAGTGTTCTCCCGACATCACCATCTTCAGAATCATCATCATCTGAGGCTGCTGGAAATACAGGGGACAATCAAAAACCTTTCTCAAAGTTTTAAGGTACACAAGGTCATCGTTGATTTGAGTATGAATATGTTTAGTATCGCATATACAGACTTGAATTAAGTGCTTCAAAATGGAGCCCTTCATAAATTGAAAGCAACAGTCTTCAGAAATTACCTCAATCACTACTGGAAATAAAAATGGAAGAACATCCCTACTTGTATTTATGCCAAAATGGAATGGGGGATGGGGGGGGGGGGGAGTTACAGCTTTATTTTATTGACTGTTTGAGAATGTTATATGAAATATGATGAGACAATGAATCAAACATTTCTGGAAGGCTCTAAGGCAGTTCATCTTTTTAAAACGTTATAACAATATTGTGTTAACAATGTGTTGTCGAAGGCTTTCATGGCCAGAATCACTGGGTTGCTGTGATTTTCAGGGCTGTATAAGCATGTTTGAGAAGCATTCTCTCCTGACGTTTTGTCCACATATATAGCAGGCATCCTCAGAGACTGAGAGGTCTGAGGATGCCTGCCATAAACGTGGGTGAAATGTCAGGAGAGAATGCTTCTGGAATATGCTCATACAGCCCGGAACACTCACAGCAACCCATTGTGTTAACAGTTTTAATCTGAAATAATCCTCAAAGTCTCTGAAGCCCTCCAGGGCAGTGTAAACACACATATTCCACAAACAGATTTGTTTATTATTTTTTGATTTACAGCTGCTCAGCTTTAACAACAATGAAAGGCCAGACTAGCATCAGTACCAGAAAATATTTTATATGCAAATCTGATTTGCTTTTTGTTCAAATGCATTTACAAGGAGCACTTACACAAACCAACTAGGAACTATTTCCTAGAAAAGGACATAGTTTTATATATACAGTTAAGACTGATATTGAGCAACCTCATGTTTTGTAAAAAAAAATCAAAACACATCATTAAAACGATAAGCCAGATGTTCTCTATGTATCAGCAGTCTAGGAAGACAAAAAGCCATCCGTGGAATAAAGTTATAGAAATTACATATATCTGATCACCAGTGTTTGAACAATTCAGATAGTTATGGTATGACCTGTAGGAAAAAAGGACAAAGAAAGAGGAAGAGAGAAAGAAGCCTGGCAACTACTAGAAGATACATAATATCTATATGGGAAACGTGAACAAGATATGTTGACGTTTTATCGTATGTGGTGGACTAAGAAATTTTGGATCTAAATACACATGTTCATATGGACATTATCCCATTAATGCCAGATTTTCCCCCTTATGGGATTGATCAATATGCAACTGGAAAGGAACTATGGAAGAGTATTGAGGTATAAGATGACTGCAGTAAAATTACTATATGGAAAAAATGGAAGCCTCTTAACAATATCAACACATTACAATTTGGAGTCTTAAAATATTTAAATTGATAAGATTTAGTGTAAATGGATAAACTATTCTCATTGATTAGAAAAAAGTATTAAGGATATTCTAGAAGATTTTGGGACCCTGGTTGTCATTTTTACAGAAAAACATGCTAACTGTAGGTTTTGACAATGTAGGATTATATTGACAAAAGTAGTGTAGGAATTGTGTGCACAGTCAAGAGACGTTATTAATTTTATAATTACTGAGTAAAAGAAATCAGAAGTCATGCTCTTGACTTCTTTTTCTGTTTCTGGCTTTTTTTGTTTTCTATCAGTTTTTCCTTTTTCTTACATTTTTACATAATCCATAGTCTTGTAGTGCATTTCAAAAACCTTTAAATGAGTTTTTAAGGAAGATATCAGTGTAAAGGCTAGACTAAATTCCTTTGAAATTAATTTACTAATTAGCACAATTTTATATAAGACATTTCACCCCTTCAGCACTGTGATATAGCCAGTCGTTGCATTAAAACTGAGCTCAACCCAACATTTTAATAACCTAATACTATACATGTCAAGTTAAAATCTGAATCATTCCTTTGTTCCTTTTACCCTGAAGTAAAGCTAAACAAAGGGAAGCCACCTACTTTCAATATCATCCATGTGTGCCTGAAGAGTTCTCGCAAGATTAATAAACTAGAAGCAATCCAGAAAGAAGGCAGATGTAAAGTTGCAGATCACCACAGGACTTTGAATAATTAAAATACTAGTCATGTTTATGCCTTTCAATTATTTACACATTTTTAGTCTTTCACATACTCATGAACAGTCCCCATATTGCAAAAGTAGAAGAACTGCAAATACAACCATCATTGCTTAATAATCATAGATGCTATCACTGAGCCACCTCTGGTCCTGGAAGCTGGTGATGTCAAATTATGCCCCAATAATTCACATGTTATATTTCTCTGCATGATTACATGCAAAACTGATGTAGGGCTAGTGATCTTTTATTTTATTTGAGATGTACCCTTTATCACAGGAGCCTCTGGGTAACACACATTAAGGCATGTATTAGAAGATGCATTACTTGCATGGAGAAGAAAATTAACCTATGAACTGAATATGAAGTGAATATAAACCCATCTGGAACTTGACTGATAGACAGGCAGGCTCAGCACTATTTCCTACAATTAACTGAAATGCACAGAAATATTTGCAGATTCCAAAGTAGAACTAGTTAGACTTGTTGGACCTGGATTGTGTACAATGGCCCAATTTGCTTAAAAGGATATTCCTATGCTACTTTTAGTGAGCATAAGAGAATTTGGCAGGATGAGTCAGAAAGCCCCAGATGGGAGTATGTCCCTTTGATCCTGACCTGTGTACATCTTGAAAGAACATGAAACAAACTTTTGTAAGTGTCACAATCTGCCTCTAGCACATAAAACACACACACCACTTACCCGGACACGTGTGTTAGCCTCACTTGTAGTTCCCAGCATATCTGAAAAGCGTTGTTCACACAAGTGTAACAACACTACAAGGTAAAGCCCAGAACTGATAAATTCGTAGTCTGCCTGGAGAGAGAGGGTATCGTCAAGTCAAAGGTTAAGTTGCCTGAAAAGCACAACCAGTGCTATATTACACTGATCATTTTCTCCCAGCAGCGTATGTATGCATAGGATTTTGACTCCCTAAGAAATAGCCACTGAAAATACGATTCTTCGCACAGATGTGCTTTAAAAGAAATTGCCTAGCCAAGACAAACCCACTCCTCAGTACATCTCTTTCTCAATAAACTGGCTATATCTTTAAATCTTATGTAAAATAAAGCTTGAGAGCAGATTAATCAGCTGAAAGTCTTCCTGGGCTCCTGTTTGCTAAATAAAAGGGTGACCTTGAGAAATACCCAAACCTCAAAACACTAATAATTTAAATATAAATAAGCACTGCCTATTAAAAAGAGTGGCAACAAAAAACAATGCAATTAGAGAAACTGATACAGTACTAAAATAAATCGTAAGTAGCATTTGTATAACACTAAACCTGAATGATAAAAAGCATCTTGGTGATTACGACACACAAGTCTTACAGCTCAGCCATTAGTGTCAAGGAGATTCCAGTGAAAATAAAATGGTATCATCTGCTAGCCAGTTTTCATAGGCCACCTCTAAGCAGTAACAAGTTTTTCATCCCTTGGCCCTTACAATATGCACATCCTGATATTGCATGCATATATTTTGTTTTGCAAGGACGGCAGGGTCACACTGTAGAATAATAAGGTTAGCATCAGTAGCATCAGAAAGGGACCTTGCTGGTGGCTACTGATGCTGCAGAACAAAAGGCAGGTCTGCTCCCTGTTACTAGGTATCTTATTCGTGTATGGAAACAATCTGTATTCTTCTATGACAGCAGAACTCTCTCGTTCAATAGTGACTCGGGCTTCCATTCAAATGTGTTTCTGCAGACCTCTTTAGAGACATAAACTCAGGCACATTGCCAAAAGACAGAGGCTATTTCTGCTTGAACGTCTCCTGCCCTCCTTAACCCCCAGAATAGTTCTCTTAAATCTGCAATGTTCACTCTTGCTTCTTGTTTAAACATCATTTACTCCAACCTCTTCACATTTGTTACAAGGCTAATAGAAGCACACCACTCTTTCTCACAACACACACATGACATGCAATGTGTTCTACATCTGTATTACACCATTCAAATGTGAACTGAACAAATACTTTCTTTTAGAAAAATGCTGTCCTGAGTAACAACACCAAACTGACACTTACCAAATTAGCCAAAATATACTAACTTGTTCATTTGCATGTGCTCTATGAAGCTCTTGGATATCAAAATCGTCAAGATTGAGGTGCAGTTTCTCTTTGCACAATTCACAAGTAGTTACGGCTTCCAATGAGGAACCTGAGGGAGTAAGACACCTTTAATTTTTTTATTTTGCCACAAAACCTTTCTTCAAAAACTAAATCTGAAACAGTAAACTACAGGACATTTTTTATTGGAAAAACATTTTATCTTTTTATATACTTTTGGAAGCTTGACAAGCACTCCAAGAAGCATAGGTCCCCATAAGATAACCCGAATCTTCACTTTTCCTGCGTCTATGCATTTTAAAATGTTTACTGGAAATTTCACTTTGCAGCTCATATTTGTAAAATTATATTATTCCAAAATACACATTTTAAAGTCATTCTGATACAGTCAAGCACCGAACTGTGTCACAATATTTAACAAAATGGAAAATCTGATGACCAGTCGTGTTCCAATCCCCAAATTTGTTCTGGGGATCCAGATCTACTGGAATTTGTGAAGGTAAACGTGTCCTAACATTTCTAACACAATGGGATAAAGTATGCAGCTTTCCATGCACTAATAGTAAATGAAGACTGAGATGGACATATCACAGCATTCTGGTTGAAATTTGTACTACCAAAAAAAGTACCTAAAGGGCAATTGTAGCACCTTTAAGACAGACAAAGATCTTTGTAGATTTTTGTAGTCTGCACCTGCAATGAAAACTTTAAGCTTCACATTCATTTCCTTTGAAATCACCCGGAATCTGATTATTGACAGGAAAAACAGTCGTTTAACTTCTGTTGTACATATCCACAAGGTAGATTCAGATTGTCAAATGTCTGCATTCTCTCAAAATTCAAGTTTTACTTAACTTTTTTGGTTTGCAGAATTAAATTTAAGAATTACTGTTCTGTTTTTGTAAACTGCCCTGGGTCCCAATGTTGGGGAAACTGTAGGATAAAAATTATACAACAATTGTTCTAAAATCTCATGAATGAAGTTCCACCTGTAAAATACTCTTGTCACTAAAGTGTATTTTGATCTTTTCCCTCTTGTTCTGCTCTTCCCTTTGCCCTCTAAAAACATTCTCCAGAGATTTGAGGAGTTTCTAAAACAACAAGGGAAATCTTGGGAGCTGTGGGTTCAACCCCCCACACCCATACAAACTTTTATTTACAGATGTCCTTTCTACTGACGATTGGCAACTGAGGTCCCTTTATCTCTCCTGAATTATTGTTCTAAAATCAGCTATCCTCACCTGAGTTGATCTTGGATTGTAGCCACTTCTTCATACATTCCTGGTGAACATACTTCAGACTCCCAGTACACTTGCATGGCTCTATTAAGAGGTTAGTAGGAGAAGTAGATGACATCTGACAAATTCTACATAAGTCTCCTTCCTCTTCTTCTGAGTCCTCTGAAAGAAGGCTAAAGGCAAAACCAAAAAGATGTCACCTCGAAAAGGTTTTCATGTTAACCACAACATTACAAATTGCAAACAATGAATAGTAAACTAGTAGCCAAGTAGTTAAGATGATGAAAAGACATGATTCATATAGGAGTACTATACAATTTCCAAAAATACTGGCTTAAATGTAGATGTGAAGACCAAAGGGGGAAAAGGGGGAGAAATGCTTCCCCACACCCCAAAACAATTCTTTTCCAGAGAAATTCTAGACATTTTAGTCAAAATCAATCCCAAAACCCTGGGTCGACTTATTTGAGGGTCAATGTGAGTACTGTATCTTTACACTTTCCAGAAAAAAAGTTATGGTGTGATGTTAATTGATGCTTCAATGTTTGATGTTTTAATTGCTTTGGATTGTAATGCATTTGTTTATTTATAAATATGTATATGTAGCATCGAATTGTTGCCTTTGTAAGGCTGCTCTTAGTCCCCTTCGGGGTGAGAAGGGCAGCGGTATAAGTGTGGTACAAAAATAAATAAATAGGAACTATCCCTTTTCTTTGTGTGGAGTAGTGAAAGGCAAGAGTCCATATTGGAACAACCTAAAAGAAGCACTGACCCCCCTCTACTCTCTCTGGCATAGTGCTGCTTCTGGCTTTTTGAATGCATGGGAAAGAAAATGGCAGCAACAGCCAGGGGCAGCTGCCCACCTGAGACAATACTGGTGCTTTCTCCTCTTCACAGAATTCCCCTTGACTTATCCATAGGTCAAACAAAAAGCCATAATTTCCCCTTGACTTATCCATGAGTATATAAGGTAAAATGGGATATTTTCTTTTAGAAAGATGAATAAAATGATTGAGAAAGGTGTTCATAAATTAAATGCCAGAAGACTCTATAGTATAAGATCATTACTTCTCCTGGATTTACTGGTAGTTTCCCTTTCTCAGTTCTTTTTAATGAGTACATCAGAAACATAGTGGAGACAAATTCATATTCTTTATTTTACTAATGATGATGGTTTCTTCCATTTTTATTGAAGATTTGTTTTGCCTGCTTCTCAAACTGACAAAACTTTCAGATGTACTACATTTCAGGATCCTATACTGTGAATAAACTGTATTTTTACTATTTACTATATCAAATATAAAAAGCCTTTATGTCAAAGCACGTTACACAGACAGCTGTTACTTCAAGTAAACTGATCTGCAATATGCAGAAGGTGCAGATTTGTTAAAAAAAATGAACTGAGAAACATGCTCTCTCCAATCGCCACTGTTTCAACATTTATGGAAATTTCACAAAAAAGAATATGTATTCATCTCCACCAAATCAGACTTTCCTGTATCCCATCTTCCTCCTGCAAGCCCATGCCCAAACTTCTGAAATTCTCTGAAGGACTAGGGACCACTAGGAATGCTGTAGGGGGGCTGCAACTCAAAAAAAGTTAACCCAAATCACTATACCACAAGATCCAAGACATTTCAAAGAAACAGTAAAAACCTTTCATAGTACAGGCTGAGCATCCATTATATGAAATACCTGGGGCCAGAAGTGTTCTATATTTTGGATTTATTATTGTATTGCATTTTTGAATAAATTGGATATTTTGGAGATAGCCAGTTAAAACACAAAATTCATTTATAGTTCATATGCAGGTTATAAACATTCCCTGAAGATAATTGTATATACAATACTTAAATCATTTTGTGCATGAAACAGATTTTATACACCGAACCATCAGAAAGTAATGGTGTCACTATTTCAGCTACCTATGTGAACTATTTTAGAATTTTGAGTTTTTTGGATTTTGGCATCCCGGATAAAGGATATTCAACCTGTATCTTATTGTGACTTTATAGTTAAACTTCAACTTCAAGTTATGGAAATGGCATTTTACCTCTCTTTAATTTTCTGAAGCCGTTCAGGATCTCTTGAAGGTGGTACTTTTGACTTATCGTTATCCTGTCCATCAGGCGGATTCCAACCTGAGGGAATTATATCTACTGTTATCATAACATTATCAGACAAGTTGTTTCCCAGTGTTGGGGGCACGGCAAACCGGAAAAGAGACCCAGGAAACATTCCTGATATTCCTGAATTCCTTCTACCATGCACTGAATCTGGCCCAGAGGCAAGAGACGAAGCACTACTAGGAACTGAAGGCGTTGGAGGCCTTGTGGTGGGCCTTATGGATTCACTTTGTGCTTCAAGAGATGCCTCCCCACTGGACTCTCTTCTCCTAAAAAGATGCAAAGATCTAGGAGGTGCTTCAGAGATAGAGGTTCTTGCAGTTTCATCTCTCCCTTCTCTTCTCCTCCTCGAAAACAACGGTGTACACCTGTTCCTGAGAGAAGATGATAGCCAGGAACCAGAATTTCTACTTTCAGGCTCCTGCCTGTAACTTTCAGTTTCTGAATCAGCATGTGGGTTTGGTGTAACACTTGACAGGCCCCATCGTCGCCGAAGAAAGCTAAATCCCTGAGAGGCATCAGGAGCCTGAACTTCTGTACCTTCAGAAGAACCTGTAGCTGTGTTGGCAGCACTTGCCTGGGTAGAGCTTTGGGCTCTTGAACTAGTTGAATCTTCAGGTCTTGATGTCAAGGAATCTTGGCTAGATCTTCTGGAGAAAAATGTGGAGGACATGCTAGAGGCTAAACGTGACAATAACTGCCTTGTTGAGCGTCTTCCTTCGGTATCTGTAGGTGGTTCACTTAATGACCTTTGCGATGGCATGACTCTTTCAGAACTGCTCAAGGAACTGTTTCCACTTCGCATGGCACCATGGACAATCTCTGACTGTATATTCCTTTCAGAAGAGCCCAACTCTCTTGGAACATAGTTAGATCTTGAATTCCAGCTATGTTCTCTGGAGAGTAATGACGGCTGATGTTCAGAAGGCAACTGGCGGTTCATGGATGTGTTCAGCCTCAAAGAGCCCAGAGAGTTTTCTTTTGGTCTCGCACCCTGTGCATATGAAGAAGCAGATCTTTCTTGAAGATCTACATAGGAACATAGAAAAAGGAGTTCTCAGGACAGTAATCAACTATAAATTATTATTACAGATTAATTTAGCTTAGATGAAAGTGTATTTTTTCACAAACCAATTTTATGCATTTTACTTAGAAAAAAGCAGACTGAAAGACAGCAACTTCCCAAGGTCCATGAAATTTCATGGCAGAGGGGAGAACTGAACCTTGGGTCATCTTAATGTTTGCCCAACACTAACTACTACATCACATTAGCAACTAAAATACCTTAACGTATTTGTCAATTAGAATATTAAGTTATCTCCTGTTACAATTGAAAAAAATCCATATGTCATAAAATCCCAGTATTGTATTTCTTCAATTCGAAGAATCACAGATGTATCGTATGTATTTTTTTGGTGGTGATGGTGCTGAAATTAGGCGGCATCTTACAATTGATGCCATCTTGCTATTTAAGAAATATGGTATATCCAATAACATTTAAACTTTATATAAATGAATTTCTATTAAAAGTATGCTTTCAGCAACTATTTTTTCTAGAGATTTTCAGAATCTATGATTCAATAGCATAACTGCCCCTTTAATTTTCAATTGACACTGATGATGAATGGAACTAAAGTACAAAGAAGCACTATTATTGAATGTCACATCTACTTTTATAGTTTCCTCATTTTGCTAAATATGATGAGTTGAATCCTGAGATAGACGAGACCAATTTTGCTCATGCATCAGGGTTTTTCTCATTTGGATCCAAGCCAATGTTTGCAGCAAACAAGAAATACAACTCTAGTGAAAGGTAAACTGAAATGGCAGTTACGTAATACATGTTGCAGATACAGAACTAATGTTGCTTAATTTGTAAATACTACGGTAATCACCAAGAATCAAAATGCCAATACCAGTGCAATTCTGGTTTCACTTGAGCTAAACACGATAAATGCTATAGTAATCAAAAAGGTCAGTGATGTTTTAATTTTAGCCTTCGTTAAAAAAAAAACACCAACTAAAATTAGAGTAATAGTTTTGAAGAGCACTCCAATTTAAAATATTAGGAGCTAATTCATCAACTGTAGGTAATCTTCCTGCATTCACATCACAAATTCTCCCCAAATGACTGTGCTTAAGATGGTAACAGTAACTGAATTCAGCAAAATGTTCCATACAAAAGGTTCTCTACTGTTACCAGAGTCACTTAAGCATGCCAAAACACAACATATGCCACACATAAATGTAGCCACAACCTTCTGATAGAGATTATGTGGCCCCAAAGAGTTTGGGCCTCCACAGTTAATGAATACTCATGCATTTGGGCAATATATTATATTCCTCCTACAAATACATCTCTGGAGACAATACATCATGAAAGAGGAAGATTTTTGCATGTCTGTACTTGCTGCAAAAAGATACAGTCCACCCAGTAAAGCTATTTTATTAACTAGAACCAACTTTTAAACCTAACGGAGTCTATTAAAAAGCAACTGGAACAGCCCATTAAATGCTCCAGCTAATTAGAATACCATATAACAAAACTATTTCTCTTACAAAAATCAAAAGGAGGAAAGACCAAGGAGAATTGTTCTATCTGAACTCAATCCCCACAATTAGTGACATTATCAAGCACTGTATTTGTTCATTGCATGTAAGTACCAAAAAAGTAGCTACATCCAAACAAGAATCAGGTGATCATCTGTGAACATTACAATGTAACAAAATATAACTTGTGCCTAAACATTCTCAAGTTTCAAATACATACATGATGAAGATGGGAAATCACAATTCCTGTGACAGTCCACCAGCCTACTAACAGATGGGTCTGTTCTTTCTAGTTCTCTCCTTTCTCTCACAAGTTCAGTTCCTAATGATCCAAGTACCACAGATGATGATCTGGGGACTTCACTGTACCTCCACTGGGAATCTAAAACATAAATTAAACCCGTTATGTCATCCTGCTTCTTTGCACCAAGCTGTTAACAGTCAACACATCTTCCTATATTCCTGAATTCACATGGTCCTATTTGCTTTTGAATGTTGTTTTATATATGTGAAAAAAGGAGAGGGGGAAAGAGTTCCAAGTTGGAATTTTCATTTTAACTTTCACAATCAGCCCAAACATTTTTAGTATTTTGGTTAGACTAATTTACTAATAGCTTTCGGAAACATATTATTTCTTGGTCAGTCAGAATAACGCAAAAAAAAAAAAACAACTTTACACACATGTAATTGTTCCCTTATGAATAATCATATCTGACACTATCTCAACTTGATGACTGAAAGCTTATACCATAATACATTTGTTAAGAGTTCAATGAGAACTGTCCAACTAAGGATCCAACATATAATAAAAACTTCCATTAGTGGAGTGGGAAAGGAAGTGACATATTTCCCTCCTTGTGCAGTGCTGCCCTTCCCAAAAAATTATAATGGGACCCTTAGGAAATAGCACCGAAAGTAGTACAAAGAGAGTAGACAACCAGAAAAAAATCTTCTGCATTTATAATCGGACTCTTCCTTCAGTAAAGGGGCAACACTGAAAACAACTTTTTAAAGAGCCATGTGATTCTTTATGGTTTTTATGTAACAGCATGATACCTTTAAGCAAGAATCAGGTCAAATTTTGTAGCATTTATGTAACTTTTAACATATAACTTACCTGAAACAGTGTTTAAACCATTACTTCTCACACTAGAGGTAGATGTATAAGAAAGTTTAGGTCTCTTAGAATCAGAATCCTGTTGCTGGTTATGCAGTCTTGAAGAATATGCTCCCTGAGTTCTTTCAGTGTCACCAAACCAAGAAGATGTAAGAGGCGAAGATGATGATGCAGACTACAAGCAATGTTTTGAAATGGTTAATGTTTTTCTGCAAAATAAGAGTTGGATCTACAACTTGTCAATGAACCTACACAGCAAGGTAGCAACAGATTAAATCAAACATTAGTGAAAAGATCTGAGTAAGATAATGAAGCAAGCTTGTATGTAAATGAAGTTAATTTAAGAAGAACGTGTACAACTTTAGATCAGAGGAGGAGAACCTCTGGCTTATAAACATTACTCATCCAAGGCTCGGATGTTCAGTGACTGAAAATGCATGGAGGTTACTGCTATTTGACTCCCTACAATGAACTCCCTTCTACACCATCTTAATTTGCAACATCTCAAGAGGAAATGTAGGTCTGTGGGCTACTAATAATATCAACTTCTTTTCCCTGTATGATATCTGACACCCTTGCCTGATGAGCAAGCCAATGAAGCTTCAGATGCTGAATACTGTCTGGAGTAGGCCCAAAAAAAGTATTACTGCTTGTGGGTTTTGGGCTGAGTTTTATCATATTATCATGTAAAGGCTCTAGTGACAACTTAATATAGTTGTACAGTGGTATATCTCTGAAGACTTCTCTGAAAATTCAACTGGTACAAAATGAATTAGTACAGCTCCTGGTTGGAACGAGACAGCAAGGAACCAACATATTATTATCTTTTTTTTTCCTGTCTGTACTATATCTCGGTTTATTTTCAATCCTATGCATACCTACTCAGAAACAAATTTCAAAAGATTCAATGGAATTTTTCACACTTACTTGTAATTGTGTACAAATGTGCAACCTATATTACTTTTTAAAAGTAATCTGTAAACACAATATTTAAATGACGTTGTTAACTATTGCACAAGGAGCCCCCGGTGGCACAATGGGTTAAACCCTTGTGCCGGCAGGACTGAAGACTGACAGGTCGGAGGTTCAAATCTGGGGAGAGTGCAGATGAGCTCCTTCTGTCAGCTCCAGCGGCCCATGCAGGGACATGAGAGAAGCCTCCCACAAGGATGACAAAACACTGAAAAACATCTGGGCGTGCCCTGGGCAACATACTTGCACACGGCCAATTCTCTCACATCAGAAGCAACTTGCAGTTTCTCAAGTCGCTCCTGATAACGAAATTTTTTTTATTGCACATAAGCCATTACTTTTACTAACTTCAGTACATTTGAAATGTGCTTATTTCAGGCTGTTTTGCCACTGGTGCTTTGGTAACTTTTATGCTATTTCATCTTTTGTAGCTAAATTTTGGGAACTGCTAAAAAAGGATATACTTTTAAATATACTTCAGTATATTAGGGTGGGGAATTTGTAAAAATGATCAGAATAATCTTACTGCAAATCTTCTTTTTGAAAAGCTGCCAGATCCCCAAAATAAATATGCCACTTCCTTTTTTGTCTATTTAGTTGCATGTTCTTTAAGTGACATTGTGTTGCTTTGTGTGTCTTTTGGGGCATATGATTCATTTTTCATTCCTTTATCTTCATCTCAGGCACCCTTTTATTTAAGAAGCAGCAAAACTCACAAAAATAATATTTAGAAGTCTCTAAAATTAGATCACCTTCCACTAGCAGCAGTACTGTTTAACAAATCGGGCATTATCCCTTACAAAGATACAAATGCATGAGGGAGACAGCAAAACTGTGACTGATTTCGGAAGCTTCCATGTGACAAGGAAACTCAGGCTCATATAATAAGTTCTGTTCTATAGACATGTCCTCTCCATTGTGTAGAAGGTACAGCTGTCTCCTTAAAACAACTGTTAATTACATAAAGACAAATATTTGCATAGAATTAATTTTTCTTCTTACAGTCATTAAGTTTTAACTTGTTCTCCATCTGGTTTTCCTCTTTACTATTTATATTTTTTAGATTTCAAGAACGTGGTGTATACTGAGGATTAAGCATAAAATTAGACTGTTAGACCCAATCAGAGTATAGCTGCTGAATAAATGGGAACTTGTTATACACGTTCCAAAGAATTAATGCATCTATTCCAGTGGTTTAAACAACTGATTTAAGCCTTAGGAACCCAAGCACAACCAAAGATGTTAACAAGCCCACTCACAAGCTAAGATGTTTTTTTCTTTTTTAATATGCATACAGCTGCCTACAGATTTTATATTGAGATAAAGACAGGAGCTCTATTTCCACCTCATGAATCCATGACATTATTTCTCTGTTCCTACCTATTACCAGTCAGTGCTTCATACTCAAGTCCTCCTTGGCCTTATCTCTTTCAAGTGGTTTCCAATTAAGATGACATGATCTCAATTAATATGGTGAAATGATAAAAATGTAGCCATGAATGAATTTTATGTCCATCATGAACAAGTATTTTCCTGATAAACATGCATAGCAAAAATCATTAATTTTCTACCATTGAAAAATTACAAAGCATGAAAGTCCTTGAGTAAAAGATAATGAATAACCCATTGCCTATAAACAATGCAAGATAGCAACAATAAGACAACACACTCCAACTCCTCCAGCATCACTTCGCTTACATTTTGGGATGCCTCTTTAATTTCTCAAACACTTTTTGCTCTATCACAGTCAACATCATGTCCTCTTCTGGACTCTAGAAAAGGGTACTAGCTATTATTAGTATGATGATTAACAATAATAATTTAAACTTTGGACTGGATATTTTAAGTATGGGTTGATTGTATGTTTTTACAACTGATTGTATATGTTGTGTCTTAATAAGTTGTTCCCTGCCTCAATCCATGGGGTGAAAAATAACTTTTTTTTATTATGATTGTTGTTGCTGTATCACATTTTTAGGAGTCCCATTCACAGAGATACTCACACACTCACTTTTATTTTGGACTGCTATAGACCTTTTCCCCCAAACAGACATACTTCCTGTTCTGTAGAGACTGTATAGTTGATATGCTTAAAGGAAGCCAAAACGCTCCAAACATCTCAAATTACATAATAGCATTAAAACTTAATCCCCCCAGAGGCTGGAACAAGCACTATTTACCATTTGGGAACATGATAAATAGTACTTGTTAGGGGATTGCTAGTCCCCTAACATTTGAGGACAGTGTGTCCCCAACTGGCTACATGCAAGTTTACATTTTGCCCACCCACCCCACTATAATCCCCCAGCTTCCTAAAATTAAGCTATATTTTGTAACCCTCTGTGGCACCATCACAACACTAAAGAACTGGTGTTGTTTCTACATTTCTTGAGCCACTTTACACTAAATTAACACCACAGCTATGCATGAACTAGCTTTTCCCAGTATAGCAAGCATGTAATGAAAAACTCCGAGAGACAAATTTACAGCTCTTACCAATCTGTTTCTGCTTCCCAAAAATCTTCCAGACCAGGGACGATCAAATGTTCCTGAGTAGTGAGCAGAAGATGAAGTTGGAAGTTTCCATGGGCTTTCATATGCTTCTCTTTCTCCAATTGTCCAGTCTCTACTGGAACTATGCAGCCGACTAGATTCCTATAAAGGAGTATGGTTATTTTCTACAATTTTTTCCAAATGAGTTAATAATTTGAAGGTTTTAATCAACAGCATTAGATTAATTCAGAACCTGATATTGTTTGCCAATTAGTCATGTCCTATTGAGCTATTGTTGATTTTTAGCCCTAACCTATCTAAAATGTGAATTTTATCTGCCATCACACATTCATTCACGTGAACTAAATTAGGCACAGCCAGATCACATAAGATAACATGAATAACAGTAGCTCCCTACAAGGAACTCTGCTTCACTTCAACTATTTTCCAAGTAGAATGTAGGACTACAACACTTCCCATGATGAAGAAGAGACGAAAAGGATCAATACATATTGATCATAACTTAAAGTAGTATCAGGACTAAAATACAGGCCAATTGCATTACACAAAGCAAACAAAGCTCAACTCTAACTAAAAACATACCAAGACAAATATAGCAACTACTTAATGTGTGTTGACTTTTATGTTGTAAATTGAGGCATTCGGTTCTGGAAATCTTGACTATTGATATTTGAGTGGGCTTATACTTTGCTTTTTTTGCAACTATGTTCTATTTAAAAAATATTTTTTTGTGTATTTGTGATTTTTTTTTGTTTGTGTCTATGGTTGAGACCTTTCCCTTGGTGTTTACAGGTGATTATTCTTTCATTCTAGTACACCCAGTTACTGAGCTCATAAGTGAGGAAATCTTCACGCTGACCATGTAGGTGGAGATAGGAAAGAGATCATTTTCAGCTCAATCTCTAGCAGTTTAGCATGGAATACCTGTTTAGCATTTAGGCTAGTAAAATTAAGCACCAGAAAATAACAATTCTACCAAACATTTTCAAACGTCATCCCCACTCCCACCAAGCATTTCAAAAGCCACTATGGATATTTTCACCTGGTGTATTTAATGATTGCAGTGTTGTCGCTGTAACCTGGCTGGAAGCTTTCAAGAAAATTAGACATTGATCAACTTCTCTGCTTGTTCTTTCAGAAGATCTCCAGTTCAGAACTGTGATGTGACAATTAACACTAACAATTTTTCACTTAGTACAGGAAATAATTCTACTTGCAGTGCCATGTTTTTACCTGTCTAATAGCAGTGAACATACTCTTTTTGGACTACATATTATCCAGGCAATTTTGTCTCTGTTAAAGACATAAAACATGTAAGAGTTCTACGCTATAGCTATACAATTCCATGTTTGCAGCCATATTAATGCATTTCTCATGTAAGCTAGTCTCCTCATTTCTCCCTATATTTTGTGAATGAGTAAACCACGGGAAGCACCAAAAAGTGACAAAGAAAAAGAAATAGCAACACTACTTATGACATTGAGTTAATTAATCCTTCCAAAGATGGCTTCTGTAAGAAGCACAAAGTTAGGAGTGAATACTCTCCACTGCAACTGCTCCTCAAAATTTGCTCTGGAGAATTGCAGGAAAGCTCTGGAGCAAAATTTTGGGGTTGAAAATCCATGGTATGAGCACACTTCTACTAATACTCTGAGAGGGTAAAGAAATAAGTTGAGTATCATAAAACAGCTTCACTGTTTGTGCTACAGGGCCCTTCTGAGCCAAATCATAAATTCTGGCCCTTAAATAAAGAGGTAACAGTGCTAAGACTTACAGATCTATAAGACTGAGTGGAGGAGCATTATATCTCCACCATGACTGTTTGATGTTTGACAATGGCAGTCTTCAGTCTTCATGCTAGACACGAGAATCCTAAATTTACCCTCCATTAAAAAAGTGTTTACTCAAGGAAGAATCCTAATGGATTGCTTAGAGTGCAATACAGAAATTCTGCACCATCCAAAATTTACCCAACCAGTTTTGGATGGAGTATTTTAAGTAAAGGAATTGTATTTATTTACTCTCACTTTAAATTAAGTAACAATAAAACAAAAGATCATCCAAATTAGATATCTTATATATAAGTAAATTTCCATTATGGACTCTGAAATGGCATGAATGCAGTAGCTGAAGATGAGATCATGTTCTGCTACCAAACAAATAATTACCTGGCATCCAGATTCCGATCTCAATGGAGAATCTCTTGTACGATATGAGTCAGCTAAATTAGTTCCTCCACTTCCAGTTCCTGTCCTAGCACTTCGAGAACTGGATGTCTGAATGGATACCCTTCGTGGAATTCTTGAGGGCTTTGAGTCCATTTTCTGTATACTGTGAAATAAATGTTCAGGTTTCTCAATCAGATAATGGAGTCTGTATTTTGCAGTAATACACCAGTGAGAGCTATGAATTTACTGGTTATGCGGCTTACAACTTTGCTCCAGTGCTCATACAGCAGCCTACCAACATATTAAAGTTAAATCCAAGTTGCAAAACAGGACCATGTTATGTATGATGTAGACTTTATACAAGGCCTTTGCAATCCCTTGCAACTTTTAAGATTCTCTGAGATAAAAATAAATGACACTATGAAGTCATTTTTCATTAAATAGATTATTAGAGTAATTTAATAATGAGGGCGACACCACCTTCTGATAGCTTTTGCAAATTTGTAAACATAAAAGGCATCCTGGCAATCTTTAAAAAGGTTTAACATAAACAACACAGAAGGAAGATAGCAAAATTATACAAGATGGTAAAAATAATGTATGTCCAAATACTAATATGAGTGACAATAGGGGTTTCAGTCTAAGAAATTATTTAGGCAATGAAATGTCTTAAGTTAGAATGACTGTGGCTTAATACATAACAAACTACAGTACTGATCAGAAAAGCTGAATTCATGCACGGTGAAACTGCTCCTAGAAATGGAGTAACCAATATAAACTACAGCAAAGAAGGATATCAAGGTGTAGCTGTAAACCATAAGATAACATTAAACAAAAGAAAACCCAAAGCAGGGAGAACCTCTGACTCAAGATATTTTTGAAGTACATGGAAGAGAAGAGCACAAAGGGCATGCACACCTTGATAAAAACCACATAAAGTCGTATACATAGTGTTTAAGTATAATAATAATCTTGCAAGAAGATAACTACTGGCCCTATCTCTTCCTTTCAATAAACTTGTTATCTCAGTCAGCCCTAAATATTTAGGGGTGGGGGTCAAAAAGTAACCCTTCATTTTATCTAACTACACTTATATGCAGGCATATCTTGCTGTAGCCTCCCACCATTTTACAGATATTCAGCCTCTCTCTGGCACTCATCTGAATTGCTTTCCATTTTATGTAAGTAAGGGATACCCTTTTACTACACTATTTTATACAATAGGACTGATCATCCAAGGATTTGGGTATACACAGGGAGCCCTGGAACTAAACACCAGTAGATAGGCCCACTGTATATCTCTACACAGTTATATAACCTAAATCTGTACTAAAATATCAGGTCATTTTTCTGTTGAATTCAGAAAGTCAATTTCATCAATTCAGATTACTATTCCATAGACAACCAGAGACTACTGACGTGTTTATAAGGGCGGTAGAATTCATTAATCACTAGTTAAAAAGCAACTCTCCCAAAAGCTATGCACAAGACATGTGACTTGGAAAATTTGTATCTTCCCAGTAAACAAAATCCTCAGCCAAGTAGAATTCTAGCTTATTTCAGCAGAGAACAAAATCTAACAAGAGTGCTTGACATGCTAATATATGTGGAAAAATAAATTCTCTTCAAAATGTTTATGTAAGTCTGTTCTGTTAAACTGTGGTCTTCTACAGATACCCAGTTTTTATTGTACATACAAACTCAACTGAAATAGGACTGCAAATAGTCAGCAAGACCGTACTGCATGGCACCTTATGTCTCTAACAGACTAAATAATGCAATATTAGCAATGGCAGTGTAGCATCCACTCAGCCCCAGAACCTCAGGCATGCTGGGATTCACTCATACAGTGAAAGCAAGTAATTAAGAAGCTAATCTGTGCAACGCTGCACATACACCAGTTTACTCTAAAATGGTGACTAACTGCCTGGGCTGCCTTTTCAACATTTCAAGGGAAATATTTCCTCTTTGTTTCCCCTTGATTTCTCAAAACCATAGCTCCATGGTTACACACTGTGCACATACACACATGAAGACAAGTTTCATCAGGCAGGCTCTTCTGGTTTGAACACATTCACAATGGTGTTTAACAAGTTCCTTCCTTCTTCTTGCTTCAGTGTCTTCCTCATTCTAGCTCCTTGGCTCTAAATCTAGATAACCTTTTACTGTAAAGTTAAAGGCACAACATACACAATTCTTTGAGGAAGCTTTGTGAAATCATTTTTTTCATCACAGTTTAGAAAAACAAGGCCATTTTACGGTGTTCTGTTCCCAGCAACACTATACTACTGCTTCCCTTTGCCATAGGGCACAATGGTCTGATTTCTCCTGGTTAGCAACTAGTGTAGACCCACTGAACCCACTGTTGGTAACTCAACCTATATATTAATTCCGTGACTCAAAGGATCTACCAAGATATTTCAGCAAAATGGCTAGTCCAGGTTAAATAAAGATGGCAGAAATACAAACAAGAGAGAAAAAGAACAAGGAAAAGTAGCCATACCATAAAAATGCAGTGTACTTAAAGGCAACTTCCGTTATTATGTGCACTTCTCAGCTACCTGATAACTGCATATTTTTAATTATTGACATAATTCTGTTAAGGACATATGCATGCCTGAGTGTCCCTTACTTGTGCAAATGTCCTTTTTCTGGCACTGAATGAGCTGGTATTCCTTTTTTCCCACTGCAAAACCCCAAACCTTATAGTAAAGTACCTAAAGCTGCCCTGTGTGGCCACTCCATGTGTAGTGGTGGACAGGCAAAATGAGAGCACCCTCTGACTATATCCTCATAGCTAGAAGTGATAATATCAGTGCTGAGATCTGAGAGGGCTGCAGTAATCATTGTGTATCTGGCTATGAGGACAGAGCCAGTTACTTCCCAAGTCGTGTTGACTTCCTGCAAAACACAGAATGGTCATGTAAGTCAGTTTAAGAAGCTTTACTGTAGATCGGGGGTTGTGACTCATTGTAGTGTGGATATACTGTACTTCTGCTACACTGAGGGGTATTCCATTGAGCTTTATTATGTGTTTGTATTGAGCTTCATTGTGTGCCTTTTAAAGACATCTTGAATTCCAATTTGGGGGGAAAGAGGAACAGCAATAAAGCAGTGGACAGAGATTGAATCTTGCAGTACCTAAATTTTAGATGATTTTTTTCTGTGAATGTTTCTGTTCTCATCAACAACTAATTTATTTATATCCTGACTTCTTCCCATAACTGGGACCCAAGCCCTTTCCCCATCCATTACAGGCAGTCCCTGAGATACAAACATCCGACTTCCAAATGACTCACAGTGAAGAATGGGGGTGAGACAACAGGGTGAAAGAAATCTACCTCTCAGAAGTGAAATTCACTCCTGGAAGAGTTACATGGGGTAAAGGTGTCTCCACTGAAGCTTTATCACCAATCTTTGTTTCCAAAACAAGCCATTTTTTCCAAAATTCAACTTTCATTGGGTCAGAAAGTGAAGTGAAATCTTCTGACAGCAAAACAAATACCACAGGGGTATTAAACCTTCCCTATGCTATCCAAGGCTTGCTTATGTATGTATAGAGAGGGGGGGAGGGGTTACACTTTAAAATATATCTGTTCAGACTTACAAACCAATTCAGCTTAAGAACAAACCTACAGAACCTATCTTGTTCTTAACTTATGGACCGCCTATATATGTTAACTGGCTTACTTCACTTTAAAGTTGTCACTATGCTATAGCTGTTTGAGAGTTGGACAATGATACTAGCAACCAGGGTCCAAATCACTGCTCAGCTATGGAACTAGGTGAACTTGGCAAGCCCTATTCTCTCAGCCTCAGAGGAGAGCAAAGGCAACCTTTCTCTGAACAAATCTTGCCAAAATAACAAAATACGGTCTTGCCTTAGGGTCGCCATAAGTCAAAAATGACTTGAAGGGACACAACAACAAACAGGCTGCTATTAAAAATAAACTACCCATGCATTTGCGGACTGTTTTTGTTCATGTCACATAACAATATCAGAGAGAACTCTGGATTTCACTTGAATAATAGTTTATTGTTTATACCATGTGAACAATATCCTAAAAAACACAATGCCTAATTTGAAGAGTATATAGTACTTAATCTTAATCTGTTCATTTCTCTAAAGTTAGCAGTAGAGTATTTTTGATACAGCCTGTTTGTTTCAATAACTGACTGATAAAATATGGTGTTTCTCTGAATGCATCCTACTTTGGTATTACGGCTGATAAGTCTCTTCCCCATAAAGTAAGGCTGATGGGTATTACTTATCTATTAAGGCCAGTGTTTGTTTCCATCGACCATTACAATTTTCAAATTCCTTACATTATTAAAATTTCCCATTTATTCTTTCTTCTATTTCCATTGATACGCCTATATTCTTAACTCATCATTGCAGAAGTTTTCATCATACACCAGAAGCCAGATTTCAACAGACCACAACATGGCTTACTTTAACATAACAAATGTATTCCTGTCTTCATGTTTGCCTATAAAATATGGTTTTTCCTTTTGCATAACTGCCGATGAAATACCAGTCTTTTTTAACAGTGCTTGCTCATAACAGTGAGCTTAAAAAGAATATTGACTACAGCTATTTCAATTATATGAACACATAAATGTGACATTTGTACCCACAACTGTATGTTATTTATTCTCAATTTAAAAAAAGGAAAATGAGAAATATAATAACTATTTTTGGAATATGTTCTGTTTAGAGAAAACAGAGCTATACAGCATATCAGTAAAAAAAATGCCTGAAGGACAATGTATTTGTTTTGCTGTCTTAGGCAGCATATCTACACGTTACACTGGCAGTCTATGGACACAAAGTCCTAGCAATCTAAATGATGCAAGTTATGTGTGGGGGAGGGGGGTCAAAATTAACTGTTTCAAAGAGAAAAGGTTTACGTGATACAATATCCCATGATCTCCCTATCTGTGAACTAGCATACTTCAGTAGCAAACAAAATAATGACACCAGCAGATTAATGTGTAAATTTTGGGGTACTTCCAATTTCATATGGGAGAAGGGTATTTCAAATACCATCCAGGCAATACCTAAAATTCACCATCCAAACTTCCTACTCCAAACTGCTTTGTCCCATGATCTCCCTATCTGCAGACTCTAGATCTAGAAGTAATTTCCACTGGCATAAAAAT